GCCAGACATTCACTTAATTGTTCACTGACTTAAAAATAAAATTCTAAATGTTAGTATCCATTACTAGCATTATTCCTATTGATGCCCCCCTTGTCCCAGATTTGGCCAGAGAGATCTCCTTCAATCCATGTCTTTCTCACCTCTGCCAGTCTTTGAGCACCTCATTGTGTTCTGGCACAAGATAGTCTGGACTTGCCTTGTGTTTTCTGTCTCAGATAAAGAACCAGCCATATCTTCTAGAAGCCCTAATCTACCTCCTCTTTTTATTGAAATATAATTCCACATACCATACAATTCATCCATTTAAAATATACAATTCAATGGTTTTTAGTATATTCTCAGAGGTATGCAAACATCAGTAGTTGATTTTAGGACATCTCCATCACCCCAAATGAAGCTATGCATCCTCTACCTATCATCCCTCCCATCCCCCTAGACAATGGTGGCATGTATCTTCAGAGCCTAGAGTATGTGTGCCTGTATGTTTGTGTGTATGAGTGCATACACAATTGGCAACTATGTGGTTGGCAGGAGGAAGAGGCAGTATCAGGGAAATCATGACCACAGAGGATCTAATGCAGGAGGTGAAGTTTCCAAATGAGAGGATAACAGAGGAGAGTGGTCAAGTTCCCCACAGCGGGGGGGGGGGGGGGATTCTTTGCTCTGCAACGTATAGCTATGTAACTCTCAGTAATTTAAAGCCTCAGTTTCTCTGCTTGTGCAACACTTATCATTTTGCGTTGTAGGCAGAGGGAGCTCACAGGCACATGTGGTCATGGTCAGTACTTATAAATAGAACCTACAAAATCTCGGCAGGGTGTGGAGTGCAGTATCCAGTCAAGAGGCCTCTTCAGAGGGTCTCCTGTCATACTTTCTCTGAGGGGACAATGTCCTTGGGTGAGGCTTATTGGAACCCTCCAAGACTCCGGACATGGGGTTTTCTGGGTTTGCCATTCAATTCCTCCCACTCTGAGGTGAGTATTCAGGTTAGGTGGGAAAGGGAGAGTTTCCGGAGAGGAAATCCACTCTGGAGACTTAGAGAACACTTGAAAAGAAGACTATTTAAAAACATTAAAAAGAGACCCAAAGAAATTGAGAGGGGCTGTTGTTTTGATTTTTATTTTGGGACTAAAGCTTGAGTAAAACTTTGCACCCCCCTTGAAATGTACTGTGACTATTTTTTGTGCCTTAGAGTAATAGATACTCAAAATGCCTATGTAATACTTAAAGAACTCTAGATTAAAATTACACAAAGATCTCACATTGAAGACAATTATATATATATGTTTTTGTGTCACTTTCTTATTATCTATGAGCACACATCATTTTGAAATAGTTTCTCATAGTTTTATATTGTAGGACATGTAGATTACAAGCATCTCTGCGTGTCACTGTATTGTAGATCGTCACAGATTTAACATGGTTGTGGTTGTGCACAGAATGTCTTATGCTTATCTTTTATACTGTCTCTTCGATTCCGAAGATATAACAGCAATTATTTCCAGGTAGCTCATGTTGACAAACGTCTTCAGTTTGCAGGTCCAGTTGTTTCTTGTGAAACCTGTCACATTTTAGGGCTGTGAATCTTTCTCTCGGGACTTATGAAACTTCTGGTTTAAAAGTAAAAAATCAAAAGAGTCTGCAGCAGATTGTGCTCCTGACTATCTGTAATTACTACCATTGTATGTAGTAGTAGAATGGTAGCTGGGTATATGTTGTCTGGCACAAGGATACATTTTCAGGCCCACTTTGCTGCCTCATGTGGCCCAAGGGAAGCAGAAGGGACGGGTGCCCATTCTAGAGCTGGGTACTACCTTTCTCTGTCCTGCTGGTGGTAGGGAGCAGCCACTTTAGACCCAGAGATGGATGCCCCATGTTGAAGATAGCCGAGCCATCTTATAGGCCTGGACTGTTAACATTCTCTCTCGTCTAACCCATCACGTTCATGGGTGTCTCAGATACAGGGGCCTAGCCTTTACGCTAATATACTACTTTCTCGTAGATTGTTTCAGGCAAGATAGTTTTAAGAATATACTCCCATTTTCAGAAAAGTCCAGACAAGAGTTCTGTTTTATTCGTCACACAGCATTTGCTAAATTAGCTTTGTCTCTCCACTTGTGGTTGGTAAGGTGCTGGCAAGCGTTTTATTTTACCCGGTACACCTATGTTCTCCTGCATGTTTTGTGCAACAGAGCCGTGTTCTCGGAGGGATGGCTTCTCCCATTCAAGGCTGCCTGTGTTCTAGCAGCTCAGGGTTGGCCATCGTGTATTGCACACCCTTAATACTATATGGAAGTTAAGCATTAGACAAATGACAGGGGTGTGGCAAATCAAAAAGAGTGTTAGCTGAGAGCTGGCTGGAGGCAAAGGTCCCAATCCTATAGATAGATGGTAGTAATAGTAATAGAATATCCCCAAACATCAGCCCTACCTTCCTCTCCCAAACTGATACTCAATGTTCCTGGCTCACACTCTCCTCCTGGCATACATCTTCTACTGAAAAGTAGAAAGGAACAAAAGGGAATTAAATTTTATGGGACACCTTAACATTATGGAGAGGCTGTGCATGACAGTGATTACAAATATGGGACTGGAGTCCGATATACCAAAGTTCAAATTCCAGCTTCACGATGTACTAGCTGCAGGGTTTGATAAGTAACTTAATCTCAGTGCTCTCATCTGCAAAATGGGGATAATAATACCAACTTCAAAGTTGTCTGGATATTAAATAAAATACCGTATCTAAATGTCTGAAATGAATTAAGAAGGAAGTTGATAAGTGGTAGCTAATATTATCTATTTGGTTCTCATTTCCTGGTGCCAAGTACCTTATATGCTTATTTCATCAACCTACACAATGGGCACAATCCTTCCCATTTTCTGGATGAAGAAACTGAGGCCAAAGAATTCGTGAGGTGAAACAGATATCGTACTAGGTCCCTTGCAAATGGAGAAATGGAAGCATGGAGTATTTATATAGCTCGTGGCTGTCTCAAAGTGAAGCAATTATCAAGCTGGGATCCAAAGCCACATCTGTCTGACCTGACATGTAATGGTCATGGCGATATTTGCGATCTGCATTAACTTTTAAGAATCAATTTCATAGCCTGGGATATCCTCATGACTGTCTTTCAGTAAGTAAAATTATTAAGGAAGGAACTAGTGTCTCTATCTTGCATTTTCCCATCAGGCTCCGTCCCATCAAAACCATGGGCTGTCCTTCTTAATCGGATTTCTAATATAACCAAACAATCTATGGTTGTTTTTCTGCAGTTTTCCTAATCAATCACAAGTATTTTCTGAGGTTGCATTATTTTTTGCTTACCTTTTTTCATTTTGTTAAAATATGAAACTTTGGCACTTTACAAATAATTTGTATTTTTCTGACATTCTTTGTTTTTTTGATGGTCCCTGAACAAATTTCTGAACATCTCTCTTTGACCCTATTAAAAACTTAGTATAGAATGTGTACTATCGGTAATTTAGAAGTTTTAATAAACAGTTGAATGTATTTTCAAACTTACATCATGTCCATTTCATTTAAAAATTTTTTTTGAGTATAGTTGACACACAATGTTACATTAGTTTCAGCTGTGCAACATGATGATTCACCTTCTCTATACCTTATGCCCCGCCTACCACACGTGTAGCTACTGTCTGTCACCACATAACCCTATTACAGTGCCATTAACTATATTCCCTGTGCTATGAGGTTGTGGCCATTTAGTTGTATCACATTCCTGGCTCTACAATAAAACCTTGTAGATTATCACTATAACTGGATTCAATTACTGTGGCACAAGATGGGTTACATAGCTCTTCAAAGCAACCAAACAGTATTTCTTATCTACTTGCTTCTTTCTTTAATGATATTTTATTAAGAGTCACAGCACTCAATTAAAAAAATTTTTATCTTTTAGGAAATGTTATACTAGTTTCAGGTATAAAGCATAGTTATTTGGTAATTATATGAATCACGAAAGCTCACCACAATAAGTGTAGTTACTATCTGTAGCTATACAATGTTACTACGTTATTGACTATCTTCCCTGTGCTGTACTTCTTATGATTTATTGATTTTACAACCGGAAGTTTGTATAAAGTTATATTATTTTGAATAACACTGTGTCAGGTGTTCTGGAACTCCTGTATTTAAATTTATAATCTGTTGATGAGCCAACATAAAGATAGCAAAACAATTAGCAACTAATAAAAGTGAACAATAATTAGTTGCAATAATTGCAACAGTTGAGCTATGACCAAAATTCTTGAGTTTCCCAGCATCAAAGTGAACATGAGTGTCAGAAAAGGGGAAGCAAAGTTTTTCCTTGGCCTAAACTTCAGGAGAAATTTCACAAGTGGCTCTTTACAGAAGACCGAACAAAAGTGCCCTGGACAACATTCCCACAACAGACGCACCCATGGGACCCAACTGGCTTTTTCTTTCCACTTGGGACAGAGCTGAGGGTATAATATTGAAGAAAGGTTTGCTTAGGATCCAAAAATGTGGTGGATGTACAGCAGAAATTTGCGTGGCAGTGGGAGTATGCTCAAAGCAGCGTACTTTTCAAACAGGATTCCTAAGCGCACCTTTTGTCGGCTGAGATTTGATAAAAACCAGATAGAACGTTTCAGACTGCTTTGATGAACACCTATCCACTAAGCTGACATTCTGCGTTTGTGGCTGAGCGAAGAGCCATATGCTCTCAATGCCACCTCAGCATAGGGTTTGGCTGGGCCCCTTCTGTCAAGAAGAGAGGGTGCCTTACCAGGACTCTGGACTCGGGGAAGGCCACTGCACCTGCTTGAGGCGGTGGGCTGAGGCCCGCTGCTGCAATGGCTGTTGTCACCCCCCTCCTGAACTCCGCACGGCAGGCACTCGCATGTTCACAGACACGTGCAGCGGATAACTTGGGGCTCTTAGATGCATGGATAAACGGGAGCCCCGCGCAGAGCTGCTACCCAGACAGTCAAACGGGAGGCCAAACATGTCAGCTCACCTTTGCAGAACATAGGACCCCAGTGCGTATCCTAGGAAGAGCGGGGGGTTCTTATAGAACATATTCCCCTAAGCCATGCCACAGCCTGGGAAAGCTACTTCCTCCTGCCTCTGCTGGACGAGCCTCCAACCCGCGCGCCGGGCAGGGGAGGCCGGGGCAAGTGGCCGCGGGAACACCCCGTCACAGGGCCTGGGCGGGGCGAGGCGGGGCGAGGGGCGGGGCCTGGGCGGGGCCCGGTGCCAGGGGGCGGCTCCGGGGGCGGGGCGTGGGCGTGCCCGGCGGCGTGCGCGCGGTAGCGTGCGCGCGGCGGGGGCGGGGCAGCAGCCGCAGGCCCACGCCGTAAACAGACAATATGGCGGCGGCGGCGGTGGCGGCGGCGCCTGGGACCTTGGGCACCTTGCAGGCCGGCCGCGCTCGCTGGGTGGCCGCTTGCTGTGCGCGGCTTCGCCCCGGGTGGAGGCTGCCCGGTTCCTTAACAGGCCCGCGGGCCGCCCCGGCGATATGGGCCCGGGGCTGGGCGCCCGCGGTCGGGGGCTCGGCCCCGCGGAGGGGCTACAGCTCTGAAGTGAAGACGGAGGACGAGCTGCGGGTGCGGTACCTGGAGGAGGAGAACCGAGGTGAGGGGCGCGGCGCTGGCAGCCGCGGGTCCTGGGAAGGGTCGCAAGGTCAAGTGTCTGCGCTGACGTCAGTGTCCGCTGAGCGGCCCGGGTCGGGACCCCTCCCCTCCCCCGCCCCAGCCTCGCACCCTTGTGGTGCTGGCGGTGCCTAAAGGTGTACACTGGAGCAGCTTACCTGTAAAAGTGGCCCCACTCAGCGCCGAAGACAGAAATGCAGCTCACGCCCTCGTCCCTAGACGAGCCAAGGTCAATAAACCGGGTGTGTGATATTTGCTTCCAGGTTTTGTGCTTGTTCTGAATTGGGTTTGGGGGGTGGGTGGGTGGAGTTTCAGAAGCTGCAGTGAGAATGCACTTCATTCTGAAGAATCTCACACTTAAAGCAGTGCAGCCGCAACAATTTCTCCTCTTGTTTATTTTAGAAAGTTAAAGTTAGTTTGGGGGACTGCATTGCAATTCACTGAAACCATTTTTTGAGCTTGCTTTTGTCTTCCGGGTACCGCGCTACGCTCTGGGGACCCTTGTGGGTGATAAGGCTCTTGCCCTTGAGCTACCTGCGGTGGAGGAGACAGATGCATTGGCAGTACGATACCTCGGGGGGAAGGGGGAGGGCTGTGGAGGCGGGAACTGCCTACCGGAGGTGTTCGTGGTGGAGCCCAGTTCCTTTCACTTGCCCGCTTGGGTCGGGAAAGGTAGAATAGCAGTCTGCCAGAGGACCGGTCATTTAATTTGGACACGTAGTTACTGAGCACCTGTCATCCGTTAGGCAGAAGGACAAAAGAAGTTAAGTCACGATTGCTGTCTTTAATCATCTTCTAACAGTGAGGAAGATAGTGCTGGCAAAAAGGCTCTGCTGACAACTTTGAAGGCTTGGTGAGAGGGAAGGGCTGTAATACCCCCAGAGACCTACCATCAGTTATATTGGGGGAGATTGGAGGACTTGAGAGGGGTATTCTGAGGGTCGAGTTAGGGTTTGGCCAGATGAAATCGGTTCCCAGGCATTCCTTACCAGGCAGTCGAATTTGGGAATAGTGAGGGTTCTTAGGCAAACTGCCTCTGTGCCTCAACTTTAGTGTGTGTGTAATAGGAAAAATAATACCAACATTGTAGGGCTTCTGTGAAGATTAGATGAGAATGTCAGTACAAATTGCCCACTAAGTATCTAGCTCATAATGGATGCTCCTGGTGGAGTATGAGGAGTTATTTCATTTGTTACTTAAATGTTTATTACCCCAGACAGAGCAGAGCATGGTCAAAGGGGGGGGAATCTGAAGGTGTTGTGTTTTTGGGAAATACTGTAGGGCATGCGTGCTGCATTGTGACATGACAGGCAGAGTATTGAGAAATTCAGCTGGAAAGTAGATTTGGGACTGGAGTGTAGAGCCTTTTTGGGTAAGCTTAGTCTTACTGGGATTTCAGTTATATTAGGTGTCCCTGCAGTACATTAGATACAGAGATTGCAGGTGCAGTGAGTAATATGCACCATATTCTGTATTTTTTGTCTTTATGACTTAAATGAATGCAAATTGCAAGTAAAATTTCACAAAACATCTGGATAGTCCTTAAGTTAGGATCCAAATGGATCAAAGAGAAGAAATTAAAGCATACAGAACAATTCAATAAAATCAGACGTTTACAGTTACCTTGAAATGTAAAAATCCACTATTAGGAAGTCATGGTTTCTTAAGAAAGTTGATTCAGCTTCCTTTCAATGACGGCTTAGGCTTGGCTAACTTATAAATGCTTTGGTTTACTAGGGAACCAGCAATAAGCGGTGCAAAGAAAAACATGAGGTTAAAAAATCTGCAGGTAAAGGAGTCTCCCTGATGCTTTTGCTTCCATTGAGGCCAGTCCAAAATTTGAGGGTCTCAGCAGCCCGTTAGGAATAAGAAAATGAGAGGCGGGGTCAGAGGAGCCCCAAACTGCTGTATACCCTGTGGGCCTCTTTAGGCTGCTGGAGGTGAGTAAGTGCAGAATGCATTAGCACTCATCTGTTGCTTGGGTTCCATATTTGTAATTTGTTGAGGAGGCGCAGTTGTGGGACCAGGTTTCTATAGCAGTTATTTCTTGCTTTGTTGTCTGATCTGCTTGGGGTTTTAGAGTAGCAGTCCTTGCCGTGGTTCACCAGGGTCTCTCCTTCATGGGTTGGCTGCTTACCGGTCATTCTCCTTCCCAGTTTATTGTTCGCACTTGTCTTGGGGTTACCTTTTTTCAAGGCCAAGAATGACTGCTCTGTTCAGTTAGAAACTTCTAGTGGCTCCCAGTTGCCTGCAGGCCTAGTCTCCAGTCTCCCCTCCGCTGTGTCTAAGCTTGGCCTTTACTGCTCTTTGGTTCGTGCTTTTGCATGCACCTCCCAGAATGGAGTGACTTCTCTCTTCCCCTTACCAAACTTCTCCCCGTCTGGCAAGCTTCTGCTCATAATTGTGACCCACTTCAAAGATCACCTTTGTGAACCGTGTTGGAAAAACTGCTGGCAGAAATAGAGCAAGTGGATCATGCAAGTCATTCTTGATACCTGCTCCTTGCTTACAGTTTACATCCAGATTATCAAGACTTCTTGAATGTCTCTGAAATCTTTTCACTTTCTTCTGTGTTCTTTACCAACACTGCTCTTGTCCACGCCAGCACCATCTCCCAAGGGGACTGTCACTGGGGTCTGCCAGCTGGTCTTCTGACATCTGCTTGCTTTCGTTTTTAGTAGATTGGTTTCTTTCATATATTTTTCTCATGTTTTTATTTTTATTTATTTACTTTTCTCATGTTTTTAATATATTTTCATACATTTTATGGCATGGGAATTATATTTATAAAAATATGTATTAAAGTGTGTGTGTGTATATATATATTTAAGCTTTTATTTATTTATATGAGAGAGGGAGAGAGGGAGAGAGTGTGTACTAGAGAGAGCGCTAGCAGGGGAGAGGGGGTGGGAGAGGGACAAGCAGACTCCCAGCTGAAGACCCCGGGATCAGGACCTGAGCTGAAGTCAGCCAGGTGCCCCAAGATATATATATTTCTAAATCTTTATTGATCTATAATTCACATACCATAAAATTCAAAATGTACAATTGATTTTAGTATATATAGAGAGTTGTGCCACCGTTACCACAATCCAACTTTGGAACATTTTTATCAATCCAGAAAGAAACCCTGTTTTCTTTAGTCATGACTCCGCATTCTCACACTCCCCTCCCCGCAAAATTGGGCCCATGTATCTGTTTTCTGTCTCAGTAGCTTTGTCTGTGTTGGACATAGCATTTGAAGAAATCACAGATGTGGTCTTCCGTGGCTTTTTTCACTCAGCATTATATTTGCAGGGTCCGTCCTTGCTATAGCATGTGTCAGTACTCCATTCCTTTTTATTGTTGGATAACATTCCCATATTTGGATAGATCAGGACACGTTTTGTTTATTCATCATTCATACACATTTAGGTTGTTTCCACTTTCTGGATATTGTGAACAATGTTGCTTAGAGCATTCATGGGAATTTTTGTGGACGTTTCTTTTCACTTCCATTTAGTGGAATTGTTGGGTTACATGATAATTCTATGATTAACATTTTGAGGAGCTACCAAACTTTTCCAGGGTGGCTGCAGCATTTTACATTCCCTCCAGCGAGGTATGAGAGCTCCATTTCTGTACGTCCTGACCGATACTTGTTAACTGTTTGTGTTTTTGATTCTAGCCATCCTGGTGCCTGTAAAGTGGTATCTCCTGGTGGCTTTGTTTTGGAGCTTCCTAATGGTTAATGATGTAGCGTGTCTTTTCATGTGTTTATTGGCCATGTGTGTATCTTCTTTAGAGAAATGTCTTCTCAAAGCCTTTGCCCATTTTTTAACTGGGTTTGTCTTTTTTTTTTTTTTTTTTAAGATTTTATTTATTTATTCATGAGAGACAGAGGCAGAGGGAGAAGCAGGCTCCCCGCGGAGCAGGGAGCCCGATGCGGGACTCGATCCCAGGACCCTGGGATCATGACCTGAGCCGAAGGCAGACGCTTAACTGACTGAGCCACCCAGGCGTCCCTTTTTATTGTTGAATTGTAAGAGATTTTTAATATATTCTGGATACAAGTCCCTTATCAGATACATGATTTGCAGAACAATTTCCCACAATTTTGTGGGTTATGTTTTCAGGTTTTTAATGGTGTATTTTGAAGAACCCAGGTCTGTATGTGGTTTATTGGAGATACTCTATTACTGGTTTTTAGTACTTTGTGTGTTACATGTTATTTTTTAGTAAGAATAATTAAATTATTCAAGTTTGCAGAATTTCTAAAGTAAAAATACTATATATGCACATGGTAAGATTAAACAAAAAAAGCACCGTGGAAGGGTGCCACCCTTTCATTTTCAGGCCCTGCCATCAAAGGTCAACACTTTAAACATCTCTTGAGTTCTTGCTGTGAATGATAATTTTACTCACTGTTCTTATTTTTTATTCCACTGTATGGATATACCACATTTTGTTTCTACTTTTTGGATATTATGAATAATGCTGCTTAACACTGTGTACAATTATTTGTTTGAACATATGTGTTCATTTCTCTTGGGTAGATACATAGGAGTAGAATCAGTGGGGTGATTTTATGTTTAGTTTTTGGAAGAACCACCAAACTGGTTTCCACAGCAGCTGCACCATTTTAACATCTTCAGCAGTGCCCAAAGGTTCCTGTTTCCCCCCTGCTCGCCAACGCTTGTTTCCATTTGTTGTTCATTATAGCTGTCCTCCTGGCTGTGAGGTGATGCCTCGTGGTGGTGTGGATTGGCGTTGCCCTAATAACAAATGATGTTGAGCATCATTTCATGTGCTTATTGGCCATTTGTATATCTCCTTTGGAGAAATACCTGTTTAAACCTTTTGCCCATTTTTCATTCTGATCGTTTGTTTTTTTGTTGTGGGTAGTAAAAATTCTTTATAATCTGGATATTAATCCTGTGGCAGATGTATGATTTGCAAATATTTTCTATTCTGTGAGGTGTTTTTTTTTTTACTTGATAGTTTTGATGAATTATGGCTTATTTTTCTTTTGTTGCTTGTGCTTTTGTTGTCATATTTAAGACACTGTTGCCTAATCCAAGGTCGTGAAGGTTTGTACCTATTTCCTTCTGAGGTCTCATAGTGTGTCTAAGATCCATTTTGGTCTCATAGTGTGTCTAAGATCCATTTTGAGATAATTTTTATACATGGTGTGAGGAGAGGGTCCAGTTTCATTCTTTGATGGTTAATCTCTAGTTGTCCCATCACTATTTGTTGAAAAGACTATTCTTTTAGCACTGAATGGTCTCAGTATCTTTTTTGAAAACCAGTTGACCATAAGTGTGGGTGATTATTTCTGGACTCTCAGTTCCGTTGATCTGTATGTCTATCTTTATGCCAGTACCACACTGTTTGTTTTTACTGTAGCTTTGTAGTAAGTTTTGAAATCAGGAAGTGTCTTGATTAAGTCCTTCAACTAAGACTTCCAACTTTCTTTTTCAAGATTGTTTTGACTACTTGGTGTCCCTTACAATTCCATTTGATTAGTTTTGTATATTTTTTCAGAATTATTGATAAATATAAAACCTCAGAGATGTAGGGAAGGAAGTGTAGGGTCACATACCTAATTGGAAAGAAAATGTAGTAGTTGTCAAGGTTTTAAAATTCTGAAGGTTTTAATATTTCTATCTGTCCCTAATTCTGTGTGCGTAATTTTGTATTCTTTTGCTTACAAGGGCTCCCTAGATTTTGTCAGCTTCAGGCCTGCAGACCCTGGATTCCACTTTGTAACAGTTTCAAGATGTTTCTTCACAGTTTCCCAATGTCTGTAAGACGGTTTTCATCTCACTGGTGTCTGCTCTTGTGAACAAACAGGTATTAGTGTTTTGGCTGGGCGGTTAATGGAGACAGTGTCTTTTTGAGGAGTATCTGTTAAAACTAAGAATGCACATTCTGGGGGTGCCTGTTCAATAGGATAAAAATAGTGCCTTCCTCTTGGGTTGCTGTGAGGGTCACGCGGCCTAATGAACACAAAGCCCTGGGAACCGAGTCCAGCACGTACTACAGCACTTAATTAGTGACAGCGCTGTCCTTAAGGGTTTGATGTAGATCCTGCCCTAGATACCAGGTCCTTTTTTTTAATACTTATTGACTTATTTTTTATTTTAATTTAATTTTATTTTTTTAAAGATTTTATTTATTTATTTGACAGAGAGAGATACAGCGAGAGAGGGAACACAAGCAGGGGGAGTGGGAGGGGGAGAAGCAGGCTCCCCGCGGAGCAGGGAGCCCGATGTGGGGCTCGATCCCAGGACCCTGGGGTCATGACCTGAGCCGGAGGCAGTCGCTTAACCGACTGAGCCACCCAGGCGCCCTATTTACTTATTTTTTAAAAGATTTTATTTATTTATTTGAGATAGCGTGAGAGTGAGCGAGAGAGCACAAGCTAGGGGAGCAGCAGAGGGAGAGGGAGAAGCAGGATCTCCATTGAGCAGGGACCTCTATGCGGGGCTCGATCCCAGGACCCTGGGATCATGACCTGAGCTGAAGGCAGATGCTTAACCCACTGAGCCATCCAGGCGCCCCTAGATACTGGTTCTTCGTGATTTTCTTTGTGCTGAGATCGTTTGGAATTCTTGAAAATTTATTCTGTGAGCTGAAGTTTATCTTTGTACTTTCTTTGAAAAATAGGTTTGCAGTTTCTTGCGTAGAGACAGCATGTGTACATTTTGTTGTCTTCAGTTTAACTCATTTACAATAAGGATGGTACCCACTCCCACCCCCAAGGTGGTGGAAGGCATTTCCCTACACTGGGAAAAGTTGTGCTTACTCAGGGTACAAGCAAGGTCTAAGTACAGGTCATATAGGGCTTTGAATATCACGCTAAGGTCTTTGAATGCAAATGTTTTGGAGACAAAGGGTTTTAAAGAGGGGTGGATTCTGTGCATAATTGTTTTGGAAAATTGATCATCGGACTGAAGCACTTGGAATGGGATGGTGGGTTCCTGATAGAGAAGTTAGGAAGGACAGCTGGGCTTCATGGGAGAAGGAATGAACTTTGCTTTTATAGATCGAGGTTGAATTACTTGTTGGACTCTGTCTAAATGGAAGTGCCTTCAGGTTAAGTATGTGGAACAGAGTCAGCAGAGAAATTTGGGATGGAAATACTGAGAACTATGTAGTATGACAAAAAGAGTAAATGTGATGCTAACTCCTGGTACGTTAGCAAAAAAGCTGGTCCCACAAGGCTTGCCTGTGACAAGGATTTGCTAGCTATTACTTCTGTATGTACTTGAAGATGATGAAACCACATTTTTTTCACTAATAAGTACATTTAGTAAAATGTGCCAGTTTACCTTGGTGGTGCTTAAGAAGAGATAAAGTGAAAGGGACAGGATGTTAATTAAGTTCTTTTCTTATAAGCAGAAGAAAAGAGGTGCATATTAAGTACTAGATTGATCTTATGTATTACATATACCACATTGTTTAAAAATATGCTTATCTTGAAAAGGAGGGTAAACATGAAAATAAGGACAAAGCTCTTGGCGTGAACCTCAAGGAAGGGGCAGATTTCCTAAGTCCCAAGTTAACTAGCTGTGTGTGCAGGAGTTGTACCCTGAATACTCACTAACTCAGACGCTTGTGCTGTTTTCTTTTTTTTTCCCACTAGGAATTGTGGTGCTTGGAATAAACAGAGCTTATGCCAAAAATTCATTCAGTAAAAATCTGATAAAAATGGTGAGTATAAAGATTAAGCTGTTTGTTTCTAATACTAAGATACAGTGTTGACATCAATCTGAAAGGGATTTTTCCTCTTTTTTTTTTTTTTTTTTTTTTTCTGCTTGCCCTCCCTGTATCTGTTTAGCTCTCAAAAGCTGTGGATGCTTTAAAATCTGATAAGAAAGTGCGGACCATAATAGTCAGGAGTGAAGTCCCAGGGATATTCTGTGCTGGTATGTAAATAAATTTTATTATGACATTGAACTGTAGTCTAAGTTTTCCTCAGTGATAGTCTATTTTCCATTATAAAGTGTTCTGTGATTTGAATTCTATTACTAACATTTTCTTTGTCTGTTTTTTACTGTTTTACAAGAGAAAAAATGCTTTGTATTAAGGAACTTTCTGTTGATTGTTTTGGAAATTGGAAAAATAATTTGAGCCACTAAAATATTTGTAATGCATGTATGATATTTATGAAAGATCAGCTGGGAAGGAAAAGTTGAGACTCCTACCTCTAACAGTGTGCTCTGTATTTATTTGTTGATCAAAAAATACTTTCATTGACTAGCAGTAGCTACCCCAGTAAAAAGTGTTAAGTATAGACATTTGCTTTGGAGAGTGTTTGTGGTAGCACCTACTTAAGTATGTGTCCATGGATTGTATTTTTAAATTGGCATCTACAGCAGCGAAAATTAGGATTTTTCCCCCTGATTATACTGTATTACCAAAAGCTAAAGATTAAGTTATCTTGCATTTTCCCTTTGTAATTGTTTCGATACCATGAGATTGAATGAATCTGTTTCAACTAGTAAAATAGGAAAACAAGGAAAAAATGTAGATGAGGAAGGTATGTGCTGATAACGTAGCAGTATCATTGTCATTTAGAAATGAAAGTAGAAGTTGGCTGAAGCATAAACAACTTTTTTTCAGTAAAAATATAAATGAGATAATCCCCTTCAGGCAATTAGACATTTGAGGGAACAACATATAGTATTTTATTCATTAAACAAGTATCTGTTAAATCTTTAGAGTAAACCTCGAACAATGTCGAGAATGACAAAGTGTGTAGAGTGTCTTTGTTGTGGGCGATAGGCTTCAGTTTTGTTCTCAAGAGCCCTCAGTCAGTCAGGGTTCAGCCTCTGTGGCTTCCACCATAAAGTACTGCAGAAGTTTGTGGTATTTAGGAAACACTCAGTGTAAATGAGTTATATTTTGGCTTTCAGTGTACTGTAGCATGCCTGAAAAGATTAGTTTTAGCTCCAGTTGGGTAATCCGAGAGAGTGGGATTATCATCCTCAGATGCCGGGGGAAGGCCTTTGGCAGTCCTGCCTCCGCTTCCGCCTGAGACCCAGGCAGGGCAGGCTGCCAGCCTGGTAGGGCGGTCGGAGGCCCGGAGGGCCGGTGGAGTGCGGCACCCTGAGTCAGTCAGCGATGGCCGTTAACAGTTTTCATACGGGCTTTACGTACATTTTCATTTTTTCTTAAGCAGTATGGAGAACTTACATGGAGAGAATTAGGATCCTTGTTATCTGTGACTTTAGGACCAGGTGAATACGTCTCCAGGTGACTGAGTCCAGCACGTGACCGATGGCCTCGGAGGGCTGCTCAGGGACTTGTTGGGAAGAAAAACGTAGAGCAGTTTGGGGGCCTTTGAGGAAGGCCCAGGGACCTGGATCTTTGAGGAATGGCAGTGATAACGTGCTTCAGAATTCACTGTTACCGAGGCTCCCAGCATGACTGTCTTCTGTTGGTTGACTGTGACACTGTAGTTACTGTAGAGGTTTTGTTTTACCTGCTCCTTTGCTGCCCATTTGTTTTGCATCTCCACCTTATTAGTACCCTGAAAAAGGCTTTAATGCTTTAGAACAGTTTACAACTCTTTTATTATAGGTTGCCTTTTTGGGGACATACTAAGTAATATACCAAATGTTTTTTACCAGATGAACATGTTGGCCTCGAATACTGTTTTTTCGAGGGTTCATCAAATTGATTTCCTTTGTTGTATGTGCTTTGTAACTTCTGCATGATCAGGATAATCTTCTGCTGTATGTTTTAACTCATGAGATTTGTTACTGAATTTTGTTAAAAAAAATCAATGTTTGAATTATAGAAAAATTGGGGCAAATCATTTATGTTAGTAACTCAGCGTATATAATTCCATTATATACGCTGAGTTACTAACATAAATGATTCAAATAAATGATTCAAATTTCTCTGAAAGGTTTTTTTTTTTCTTATATGTATTTGAAAGAGGCAGTTTGGTGGGTCTGTCATTATTAGTATGTACACATTAATTATAAGTCCAGTTAATAAAATCTCTTTGCAGAGTTAAAATGAACGCTTATTTATACCAGTATAGAAATCTGAATTTAGTCAAGCCTCATTATTGTTGAAGAATACAGACTTTCACATAATTAGAGCTTTAATTTCTACTAAAGTAGTAATGTTCTGAAGTAGTAATATTCAAAAACAGTGTTCTCATTTACTGGTTAGTTTCTTAGTTCCCCCAGCCCCTTCAAGTTACTCCTTTTACCTCTTCCCTTTCTGCCCCACAAAGGTTCCTCTTCTCCATCCATCTGTATTCCAGTGACACCTTGTTTGTTTCCTGAAACTTAAAGCTTGTAAAGTGGTCTTGCCTCAGATTTCTTGAGGATGGGAACTTCTTTTTTTCTTCTTTAAAAGTCATCTTTTGTATTCTGGGAACACAGCCCAAATAGGGACTCAGCATGCAGTTGCTGAAATTAATCAGCCTGTAAGCTGCTGTGATTCAGGGACTGTTGGGATGTGTTCCGCAGCTTCTCTCGGTTGTCTCAGACCGCCTTCCTATTCACTGGTAGTGTTGGTTCATTCTTTTTATGTCCTTTTTCTAATATTCCAGAAAGCAGATGATGAAGCACTATTAAAGTGATCCCTAGTGTGTTGAAGGTTGGACTGAGTGATTTCTGACTTCCCCTTCTAAGTATACTATTTTAAATCGATAACCATATTTCACTTAACACTTAAATTTTTAAAATCAAATTTTATTTTTTAGAAAATCAGTGCTAGATCAAAATGTATACAAAATGTATAACATGTATACAAAGAGAGAAGTCCTGCTTCTACCCTTCTGCTCATTCTTCTAATAAAAGTAGAAATTTTTATTAGATTCTTTTTTATCCTTCCAGTATTTCATTATACAGATGCATACAAATATGCACACTGATACACAGAGGCATGCAGTCAGACGTGAAGGGACTGAGTGATAAGATGGAGAGGACAGCATGTGCTGGTGTGGTCGTGAGGGAAGCAGGTGCTGAGAGAGAGGGCTGTGTGTGGTGTTAGGGCCTAGACGAGGGCTGTGTGCTCCCCAGTAAGACCAGGGGTTCCGAGTATGACTCTCTTGTCCCGGTCTCCACACTTTCTGTGAGATAATTATCTTACAGTAATAAATTATAGTAACCAATTATCTACAAAGTAAATAGTTTTGGAAAAAAATCACCAGGTAACTAAAATTGTGACATTGACCGAGTTTCTCAATTACTGTTACAGCATGTGAGAGGAAAATCTTTAAAAAGACGTTATAGAACCATTCATATGCTTTCATTTTACAGAATCCCTGTGAGGTTATGGGCCTGGTTAAAGGGCGTCACTTAGCTGGAACTACTTCTCATGACTCCTAGAGCAGAATGTTTTGTTTTGTTTCTTAACTATACCATGATTTCTAACCTTTTGGAGTACGAGGCCTCCTTTCTAAATTCTAAAAATTTCATGTACTTACACATCATAGTTGATTGAGAAGATATGTAATGTCAAAATGCCACTCTGGGTATAGCATTGTATTTAAGTGAATTTTCTGTTAATTAACAATGGTATCTAGCCACAGGAAAAAAAAAACCCATAATTATTATGGGTGTACATAGTGTTTCCTGTACATAGATGTTTTCAGATACCATGCCATACCCTAGGCATGACTCCAGGTTGGGAATCATTAAAGTGTACTCTTTCTTGTAGGTTAGACACTGCTTCTGGGTTCATGGCCTGCCTGTTTCTCTTGGAATACTAAGACATGTCGTTTTCGGAGTCAAAGCTCATCGTGACACACTGGCCAAAATGTGTGCTGTCTTCCCTGCATAGTCTAGATGTTATTTATTCATTTAAAACTTTTATCTTGTTTCTTACACACATGTAGACACACTCACCTCCAAACACAAAGGAAAGCTGAAATAATTCTACTTCACAATTTTAATGTAGTGTCTGTAATGAAATTATGAAAAAGTTCTTTTGTCTGGGTTACTGAAGTCCATGTAAATGTGTAACCCTATTTGTTTACTTTTGTTCTTCTAGTGTTCCAATACTAAGTAGCAAAGGACATAATGTATTGTTTTCACCGTCAAATTTTTGAAATGAAAGTTTATGAGAAATTACTGAGAATAAGGATTTTTTTCCTTTGAAATTACTAAAATAGATTATAAACAATTCTTGGTAATTGATTCTTGTATGTAGAACTCTAAATTGAGTGTTTCACCGAATTATACATAATAGTGTGGGGGTTTTTTTTGAAAGTAAATGTAGTTTTGCTTCTGCTTTTGAATTCTAGTAAATTATGATTTCACTAAAAACTTCTCACTAACATTTTCAACATGCTTTATTGAAGGTTGTGTGTAGTGTTCAGATGGAGGCAGATGTCATGACACAGATACCTGGGGCTGCTGACTGACGACGTGTTCTATTCAGTCTTATTTCAGAATCTCAGGTTATGTTGTATTTATGTGTTTGAGTGTTAATCCCTTAGGAAGTTTGATAAGTAAAGTGAAAGGATAGATACCCACAAATTTGTAATAATTTAGCATAGGGTTCTTTTATTGCATATCATTTTTTTAAGATAATCTATTTTATTGAAGTATGAATTACTTGCAATAAAATGTACCAATTCTAGGGGCGCCCAACTGGCTCAGAGTGAGGAGCTTGCGATTCTTGATCTCAGGGTTGTGAATTTGAACCCCATGTTAGATGTAGAGATTACTTAGTAAAATAATACCTTAAAAAAAATGTACCAATTCTAAGTACTAATAAAGCACTCAGTAATGAAATTGCTGAGTGTTGACATTTAGATCATGACCACAGCAGTGATCTCTAGAGTGTGTTCATCACTTAAAAAGCTTTCTTGTGCTCATTTGTAGTCAATCCCTTCCCCTACTCCTCCCCTTAAACAGCTATTTCCTTGCTCTTACTATAGCTTTTCCTCTTCTAAAAT